GGACGTGAGTTGTGAAAATTAGCCTCTGACGCTGCTTACATTGACAGCTCTTGTTGATGCTTCTGTTAGCGACTGAAGGCACCGGAAGTGACTCCACGCGATATTGGAAGCCACCGCAAATGATTCTGGGAGGTAACGAATCCGAGCTGGAGATATTAATGTTCTGAGTGTCAATAAATGACGTTTATTGAACACTTGGGGACTGGCGTGCGGGGGATCTATTTTGTTTGTGTCGGGTTTTTTTTTTTTTACGGGTACAAATAAGGAAATAATGAGGACACGTACAACATGTTCTTGCATGCGTTACTGGCGTGTATTGGGGTTTGAGATAAATGGCAAAATAATTCGTATTTTTCCTCTTGTTGTTGTTGCTATTGTTGTTGTCGTTGTTTTTGTTGTTGTTGTTGTTGTTGTTGTTGTTGTTGTTGTTGTTGTTGTTCTTCTTCTTCTTCTTCTTCTTCTTCTTCTTCTTCTTCTTCTTCTTCTTCTTCATCTTCTTCTTCTTCTTCTTCTTCTTCTTCTTCTTCTTCTTCTTCTTCTTCTTCTTCTTCTTCTTCTTCTTCTTCTTCTTCTTCTTCTTCTTCTTCTTCTTCTTCTTCTTCTTCTTCTTCTTCTTCTTCTTCTTCTTCTTCTTCTTCTTCTTCTTCTTCTTCTTCTTCTTCTTCTTCTTCTTCTTCTTCTTCTTCTTCTTCTTCTTCTTCTTCTTCTTCTTCTTCTTCTTCTTCTTCTTCTTCTTCTTCTTCTTCTTCTTCTTCTTCTTCTTCTTCTTCTTCTTCTTCTTCTTCTTCTTCTTCTTCTTCTTCTTCTTCTTCTTCTTCTTCTTCTTCTTCTTCTTCTTCTTCTTCTTCTTCTTCTTCTTCTTCTTCTTCTTCTTCTTCTTCTTCTTCTTCTTCTTCTTCTTCTTCTTCTTCTTCTTCTTCTTCTTCTTCTTCTTCTTCTCCTCTTCTTCTCTTTCTTCTTCTTCTTCTTCTTCTTCTTCTTCTTCTACTTCTTCTTCTTCTTCTTCTTCTTCTTCTTCTTCTTCTTCTTCTTCTTCTTCTTCTTCTTCTTCATCTTCTTCTTCTTCTTCTTCTTCTTCTTTGTCTTTGTCTTTTTTTTTTCTTTATCTTCTTCTTTTTTCTTCTTATTATTATTAATATTATTATTGTTTTTCTCCGTCCTCTTCGTTCAATGTCTCTTGAGTACGGAGCAGCGCGGAGTGAGTAGGGGATCTAGCCGATCCCCAACACTCAGGGGAGGGACGATACGGGCATAAAACTATCTCTAGCCTTTGACTTTGATGGAACCCAAGTCTTCATCAATGGAATGCCTGGCTCCAACCACTCGACACGACTCTCCTTTGGGCAACACGCCAACGATAATGAGCGGCAATCTCGGAACCGATTAACAGGCTGGAGGTGTGAAGCGAACGGCGAAAGTTCCACTCGTGAATGGCAAAACGAAGTGTGGAAGAGCAGCAGTTACCTCATAACACTAAACAAAACCACGTTGTAATATTACAGCTATGAGAAGCCACACAAAGCGAGGAAATATGTCTGCGCGGTCAATCCTTTGAGAGACATGAAATTAAAATCCAGAACGCGAGCCAGAATCCCCTAACAAGGCCTAATTGTGTAGTCGGGGTCTAAATTGTCAGCGCTGGTCCGAACAAAAGCAATATTTTCGCAAGAATACTCAAACTCGGCCCATTAAAGCCATTAGGCCGGGTCGTTAGCTTCGGGGATCCAGTTAGCAGAATTGGGTATTCCCGATCGACATAAAAAGGGAATGGGGGTTTCCCGGCGGTTCTGGCAGTTCTAGAAAGAGTTTCGAACGATTTATTAAATGGCAGCGGAAGTCATTTGCGGAGTAGGGTTGATATTAAAAATCTGAGAGGCTGTAAGTTATGCTCGTAGGATGGAATCAGGGGCCAGGAAGAGTGGATGGTATGCGGCTGGATGTAAATCAGCCGATTTTGGATTCAGCTTAAGAAGAAATCGCTTATATGTGAGCGGATTAGCCTTGAGACAGAAATGCTCCTCATCTGGATTCTTGTCATACGGGATGTATGTTTTGACCAGTTTTCTGATACTTCTCTTCTTTTTCTTCTTCTTTGTTCACTGGCTGTAACCTCTGGTGGAATGTTCTGGTTGTTCGTCCATTTAGACTTTGGCTTTGTGCCAGGGCCTGAGTTTTGAGTGTACATCCGTTTTACTGGTTTATTTGTGTGCAGTTGGTTGTTCCTTGTCGCTCTGGCAAGTGCACTCCGTCTTCGAAGGAAGTCTCAGTTATTCGACTCTTACGACATGCTTTTTGTTTTGTAGGCAGAGGGTCTATTCTTGTTCATGAACATCTATAGGAGTGTCCAGACTGAGGTGGCCATTCATTCATTCATTCATTCATTCATTCATTCATTCATTCATTCATTCATTCATTCATTCATTCATTCATTCATTCATTCATTCATTCATTTATTCATTCATTCTTTTTCACCCCTCCCCCTCCAAAACGGGGACCCGGAACCCACACAGGGAGGCTTCTTTTGATATCACGCGTGTTTTGATATCTTGTATAGTAATCTAGTGCCTCTCTTTGTCAGATTAAGACGAAAAACAGGATGTCGCGTGTGCAAGTTGTAAATCAATTCTTAAGGTGGGATCTGTTCAACTAAGTTTATTAAAGGCCACGCGTTTGAAAATAGTGATCATCAAGGACCAGAGGTCCGAGCCATAGCATAGAAGGATCTTCTTTAGCCTTTCTATCCCCCAGTGGAGCATAGGCCCTCAACCAACTTACGCCAAGTCGATCTCTCCTTCGGTATCGCAGGCAGCTCTGCCCATGTCCTCCCAGTCATTTTAATTCACACTCTAGCTATATTCTCCATGTGTTATTTAGTCTTCCTTTATTCCTATACCGCTGTGAGTTCCAGTGCAAAGGCATTCTAGTTATATTGATTTATCATTAACATAATGCAACTGTCAAAGATTTTCGGGCCACTCACTAGGCTTCCACGGGCCAGATTTGTCCCGCGAGCCGCCAGTTATATAGCCCTGCCTTAAGGGGATCCTCTCCGGATCTATAGTGCTCGGTACACAAATGTTAGGTTAAACAATGCTGGTTAGCGGACACGCTGAGAAGCACGCGAGCATCATGTGCTTCCTTCTGGAGCCCGTGAACACTGCTGAAGCAATCAGAAGAAACTCCATAGAGGAGCATGTACAGCAGGAGTCTACCAATCATCGGTAGAAGTGATCCCTCGTCCGCAATTGTTTCAGCCCACGAGCTCCTAGACAAACTCAGAGGGTGGGCCCACCTGAGTTCATGACGCTCAGGCGGCTTGATCTGCTCCTGCTGCACGTATTACCATATGTTCTCGGACAGGGACAAGACGGAATTGGTGACTATGCAACAGGAACTGTGAAATTCGAAGCAAGATTAGATCCTCAATGTCTTAAGAGAATGGTGCAGCCAGGAGTGACGAAGGAATCTTGTCGATGCTAAGAACTCTGCAGATACATCCAATCAGACAGTTACTGGTACCATTGGATTTTGAACTCTGCTATTGCTGTTGACAGTGGGTACGGGGCGCTGATGGGAAGTGTCCCGATGGTTCTGATGTTGGTTTTTCAACTTAAAAAACGTAATTCATACTTTTTGTTTCCCTGGTCCCATTGGCTGAAAGTGGACTTACGGTTTGTACGATGTTTCAACAGCAGGGCAACGGACAAGGGGGTGCGGTTGATCACGTTGCTACATGCATTGTCCCTAATTGGATATTTCATGCCTACTGAAAAGGGGGTGCAACAACATCTATGGAAATGTCTGGACTGAGGTGACCATTCATTCATTCATTCATTCATTCATTCATTCATTCATTCATTCATTCATTCATTCATTCATTCATTCATTCATTCATTCATGCATTCATTCATTCATTCATTCATTCATTCATTCATTCATTCATTCATTCCTTCAGCCATTCATTCATGCATGCATTCATTCATTCAATCATCCATTTATTGTCTGGTCATGAACTTTGCCCATGTCCACACTGGTGACCAGACCAATTGTAAAGTTCCTCTCGATAAGGGTTCCAACGTCTGACCAACTTGACGCCATGCAAACTAAGTAGCAGCAGTAACAGTAGTCATAGTGATAGTAGCAGTAGTAGTAGTAGCAGCAGCGATAGTAGCAGTAACAGCTGCAGTAGTAGCAGTTTAACTAGTAGTAGTAGTGGTTGTGGTGGCATTATTTATTGTTGCTGTTGCTGTTGTTCTAGAAGTATAAGTAGTAGTAGAGTAGTAGCAGTAGTAGCAGCAGTAGTAGCAGTAGTATTAGTAGCAGTGGTAGTAGCAGTAGCACTACTACTACTACTACTACTACTACTACTACTAGTAGTAGTAGTAGTAGTAGTAGTAGTAGTAGTAGTAGTAGTAGTAGTAGTAGTAGTAGTAGTAGTAGTAATAGCGGTGGTGGTGTTTGTGGTGGTCGGGGTGGTGGTGGTGGTGGTAGTGGTAATAGTAGTAGTAGTAGTAAAAGTAGAAACGAGGAAGAAGGGTGAATAGAGGAGGAGGAGGAGAAGGGGAAGAAGAAGAAGAAGAAGAAGAAGAAGAAGAAGAAGAAGAAGAAGAAGAAGAAGAAGAAGAAGAAGAAGAAGAAGAAGAAGAAGAAGAAGAAGAAGAAGAAGAAGAAGAAAAAGAAGAAGAAGAAGAAGAAGAAGAAGAAGAAGAAGAAGAAGAAGAAGAAGAAGAAGAAGAAGAAGAAGAAGAAGAAGAAGAAGAAGAAGAAGAAGAAGAAGAAGAAGAAGCTACGACAACATCGAACACAACAGCATTGAGAACTACAACAACAACAACTATATCGATAACAAACAATCAACAACAACAAAAAAACAGCAGCAGCAACAGCAAGAATAGCAACAACAAGAAAAAATTATTAAACAGCAGTAACGACAGCTGCATCACCAACAACAAAACCACAGCAGCAACCACAACTTCAACAACACACAGTACACCACTCACTTGTTGTAGTCGTCTTTACAATATAGCTTCCGGTCACGTGAGAAACAAGATCCGGTCAGCGGCACGCGACAAAGCGCGCACTGAAGGCAGCTCTCGTGCCAGGAATCGTTCATCACCTTGAGAAGGTATCTGTCCTCTATAGGAAAGTGGCAGCCTGTGCACTGCTCGCGGGGGGACATCGCCTGGGTCGGCATGGCGTCTGAAACAACACAGAGTTCATTTTTTACATCTATCATCTTTCTCATCATGTAGCAGGTCCTATGCAGAAGGTGGCTTTTCTTACAGCCCGCCTCAAGAAGAAGAAGAAAAAAAAACTTGGTCTCTTTTTTATAGCATTATTGTTGCTTTACAGCTTTCCGTCCCAGTGTGAGAGGTAATCTTTTTTTTTTTTTTTTCGTTGTTTTAAAAGTCCCCTCCGGCTACAGTCGGGGGCCCTAATATAACCTAAAGACTGAACGGAATTTCCTGGACGTGTGCCTCGTTGATCCTTATCCGAATGATGGCACTTTGTGTCCGGGGTGTTGGTCTCTCGTTGAACGGTTCTGGTGGGCTTGAGCGACCAACACATACACAAAATCACACACACACTTAACATTTGTTAGCCAACATAATGGTCACACACAAAACAGACCACAGTTATAACCGATACTGTAGGGACCGTACGTGAGTGTTGCGCACAGGGTTAAGGTTTTATTCTAGCTGCATGAAGTCCTGGGGTTTTAACGCCCTCACGAGCTTCACTTGCTAGTGGAGTTTTAGTATAATCTTTTTCAACTAAACTAATCTTAGGAACTCGCCTGCGGATCGGAAGCTCGTGGGTTCGCTCCCTGGCAGATCCGGACTTTTTCAAAAATGACTTTGCCTCCCAGGTCGACCCAGCCTTGAGTGGGTACCAGGTGCAGTCCTGGGAAGTAAAGGCGATTCTCGTAATGCTGGCAACATCACCCATCTTGTGCCGTTGGTCTATAAAATTTAGGACCAGCCCTATATACCCAATACGCCTGACAGGCGTGGAAAAGGGTCCTCAATCTTGTCTCTGATCTACATATATCTTGACTAAATATAGTCTGTTTTTGACCTGACTAACTGTGGCACAGGACACGCCATCTGTCCCCACCCCCTCCCTCCACCACTTGTTTTCATCGTCCACTTTCCTACCCACGGAGTCTCTTGTAACTCTTGTAACGGAGTCTCTCTCTAACTCTGTACTTCCCCCTTCTCTACTGTTCTTTTCAATCCACAATGGTGCCTGATATGGCTAAAATATTTCTGAGACAAAATGCTTTTTATTAGCCAAATTTCCTTTTGACCCCCCAGGACATCACACAGAGAGATAAACACACGGTGACACAAAGTGCTACCATGCGAATGAGGATGACCCTTGGATGACCCCAATGATGATCCCATGCTATTTCGATAGTCATAAAATAGTTTTTTTTTTTTTTTTACATAGCTGAATTAAATGTTTGATAAGGTCGGTTTTATCCGCACTGGAATTTATGTCAATCTGAAACCGTTTCAGGCAGCCAGATAAGTCAAATTATAGAGGTCTGTATGTTTAAGCGTGACGTACGAAGCTGTTCAGGTAGTAAACGAATTGACAGGCACCCATAAGCCACACTTCAGAAGACACGATACGTGGGCTATAGTGTACCTTGTAATTGTGTGTATCCCTTATAGTTCCCATAGGGATCTGGCCGACGTTTAACATACAGTTTTATACACACACACACACACACACACACACACACACACACACACATATATATATATATATATATATATATATATATATATAACAGGCGAAGAAAAGGGGATAAATACATGGGAAAGTATGATCCTGTGACAGGGGTGTGACCCTACCCAGACGCCTTGTCGGGTAAAAGTAACGTCGATCTCTCCACGCCCCACCCCCCAATATACACACTGGATCACTTCTGGCTGGTAGTTCCTGAACCTGTCACCTAGGCACACGGTTACGGGTGTGTTCCGTAATGCCGTTGATATCGCGTGTTGTATATTTCAGCCGGCCAGTGCTTTAAACAATCTAAAAACATGGAGAAACTGGTCCTAACACAACACCCTATGGAGAGTGTTGCAACCTATGTCACAGGCATTCTCTTTCTCGAAATAAAATATTAAATCACAGAAAGCAAACAACAGATCGGGACACACTCGTAACCTTCAGGAAAGTCGACCAGCCCAACAAACTTGTGAATGAAAAGTGACCTACTCTATTTGGAGAGATTAACGTGATTCTAACCGCTTGTCGATCGTGTGAGAAAGCGAGCCATGTCTGCCTTCGCCTACCTGCATGGTACATGATGATAATGACAATTGAGACAGGCTCAAATATTTTATGGCAATCATTAAAGCCGTGGAACACGTGCCGTCCATAAAGACACAACCAACAACACGGAGAGAGAGAGAGAGAGAGTGAATCGAACAAAACACATAACAAATCTGTTACTGGCTAGTTTATTGCTTCGTTCACGCTGCTTCATTATTGTAGTTCGCCTAGCAGACTCGTGGAAACATGTCTTAATGAACGTAAAAAAAAACAACATCAATGAAATTATGTATTTATGTAGTGAATAATCAATTCGTTTGGAGGTTTGAGGTTTGAACAACAGCTCAACATCATGGCACACGGGTCATAACCTATAAGTGCTAAGTTCTTCTTCTAACTTTAGTCTCAGTCTGAAGCTTAGCACAGTGCACAGGCTTTGTAGTACCAGCGAGGATCCTGAAGTACTTTCGGTAGATATTTAACTCCAAATTTTGCCCTGGCAGGGCCGTTAGGCTACTCTTTTCGATTTCCAACAGGCAAGGAATTTTTTACGTGCGCAACAATGCACACGGGCGTCCTATTTCACTACCCAGAGACGAGGGAGATTTACTAGTAACTGCCTGATTGTATATCCGACTTGCCTTTGACTGAAATGTTGAGCGTCAGCCAGATCCCTTGGTAAATCCTCGCAAAGCCATTCGTCTCCCACCGTAATGGTCCATTTGCGCATCTGCACTGTTCACTCGCTCCCAAAAGGCACTCACAGCATCTAGTTTGTCATACATCAACATCACCACCAAGTGGTGCAGAACCGGACAGTCTATCTACCTGCTCGTTTCCTAACACACCGGCATCACCTGGTGTGCTCATGTACATAGGAAGTTGCAGTTCCACAGCGCCTACCCATAATCCACCACTGGTTGGGTTGACTCTAGGAGTTAAAACTGTTCGATCTTCTTGTCCTTTTTTCCCGACTGCTTGTGCCCTAAAGCATGCCAGCTCCCTGGGCACCAACAGCCATCACTAAAAGCTAGAGTACCGCTCCAAGCCACTAGTTTTGGTGCAACTGACATTTCTTAACCAAAATAATTGGCACAAAGAAACCAGACCACAATTATAACCGACACTGCTCGCTGTAGGTTCAGCGTGGTCGATGTTTCTGTTTTGTTTTACATAAATGGATGTGTTTATGATCTAAAGCGTCACAGAGAGGGGTCGCTGTACATGTAGTTGTCTGTCGTTTGCTAGTTATATAGCTTGTGTTAATGCCATATTGCGTTTCTGTTGCGTCTTTTTAACTTCCTCAACCCATTTCTTTCTTGGTCGGCCTCTTGCCTTGTAGTCTGCAGTTTTCAGGTAGTACGCTCTAGCTGGGAGCTAGTCAAAGTAAAGGTGTGAAGATAAACTTTATTGCATCGGGCTTTATCTTATGTCTCAGTCTCTCTCCGCAGAACAGCTAGCTGCCTGCCGAGAGCGTTGCACACAGTACGACATCCGTAGCTCCGGCAATGATCCTGTTTTTCCCCTATTCTGACGAGATTACCAAACCATTAGATTCGTTATTGTTCTATGAAATCTTTTAACGGTATTGTGTCTACCGTTGTTGTTTAGCTCTTCATTTGTGTCGCATCTTGTTCTCCTGAAACATCTCTTATATATCTCTTATACCCCCATGTGCGTTCGGGGGCCCCATTGTGGGGAAAACAAGAATAGACCCACTGCCTCCCCAAAAGCATGTCGTAAGAGTCGACTAATTGGGGAGCTTTCCTTTGAATTTGGAGTGCATCTGCTGGAGGGGCAAGGAACCAACAGTCTGTATTCAAGAGAATGAGATCTGTAAAACTGATGCACACGCAACACTCAGGTTCTGAAGCAGGACTGCAGTTCAGTAGTGGACGAGCAACCAGAACTTTCCGCCAGTGTACAGCTGGTGAACGCGAAGAAGAAGAAGACATCTCTTATACATCTCTTCATCTCACATGTTGCTTTTTTGCGTTTTTGTTTTTCTAGGATTGTCCATGTCTGGCATTAATAGCATAAAGTTGGTACTAATAGAAGTGCATTCATCGGTTGGTTTTTACATGCTAGGGGGGTCGTTAGCAATGTCGATAGGAGACTCGCTTGCAAACGCAGCTGCGACTCGCTGCAGCCCACTGTCGGTGTTCGAAACCGGGCTGTTCCCGGGGTTCACCCAGCCTCTAGGTAATGGGTACCAGAGTTAACACTCTGGGGTAAATGAAGGATCATCGCTGTAGCTACAGAGCTTTGTGCGGACGGCGACACAGGCGGACAGTTTCTTATCAGCTATCTGTACTGGTGGCAGAGCACTTATGGTTTTTAAACGTGTGCAGTGACGCTGGTTCACATCTCCCGACTTTAACTTTACCTTTTTTTACATGCTTGATTCGCATCCGAAGAAAAGAAACTCTTCGAGTCACTGCATATTATTGTTATAATGCCATGGAGGGGGAGAGTTTAACTTCGTTCGGAGAAATAATAATATAAGTAATAATAATTTCATCAAAACATGTTATAAAGAAGTGTATTAGTAATAATGACATGAACCTGTTCAGCAAGGCACCCAAAGACATGGCGGACAAATCAGCCGGTGTACTCAACGCTTCCCGGGCGTGACAAATGGAAAATAAGCAAGAAATTAAACGCGGCCCATTTCATCTCGTTCATTTAACACCATTTTATCGATATCATCTAACAATATTTACTTTTGTCATAATTACAAATTACCATCACGACAAATTGCCTATAGATCCCAGCTAGATACGCCATTTTATTGCGCGGATTCGTACGCTAGACTGCGCAACGGGCCGTTGTCACGTGCGACCCATCCGCGGCGCCATCTTGCGCACAGCTCTGTGGGACAACAGATGTGACAGGTCATCTTCG